TCAGTCATAAATATCCCACAAACGTACCAATTTCTAACTGTTATACCTACTGTACAAATATTTTAATAATGATTAAAACTGTAATCATCCTATCTGCAAACGCCTGTAACCGCATCCACAATCGTTGTGGTTACACCAATCATGTCCTAATAATGGTTTTGATTTAGATCAGATAAAAAAGTTTACAATTTACTTTTCTATTTCCTATTATATGATGTTTTGGTCACGTGCATAAGAATTAAGAAACATTTTTAAATAGTATCACTAATATAAATCTAAGCTAATCAAACATAAATAATAAATATAATATTATTGATCAAATAATTTGCAAGAAAAAAAGACAAAAAATTAAAGTATTAAAACATCTTATATTTTCAAACAAAAATCTTTTGTAAAACATATACATTATGAAACAAATAAAATATTTAAATTTTATGCATAAAACAAAAGGAAAATAGAATACTTCCATGTGTTTCATTTTAGGTTCTTGCACACAGATTAAGAAAACATATAATTTTGAATATTTTCAAAACATAAACACCATTACCTATACATCTAACCACATTTCAACCAATAGAAAAATAGAACAACATGCAAAGTTAATGAATTATGCATTGAAATCATAAAACGGATGGAGTATTAAATAAAATTAATAATTATAAATTAAAAAATTAGAAAAATAAATAAACTTTTAACATGTAATCCGCGCGTAGCGCGGAAAAAGAATCTAGTTATTCTAAAACGTTAGTACATGATCATATGATATGCGTCCCATTGTGTTTTAAAATCTCAAAACTTAATTTGTTAAAAGTTAAAAATAATCATCTACTTTTCTCTGTCGATACAGAAAATCCGATATATACAGATACACATACATTTAAACATATCTATTTTTAGCAAAGTACATTTCAACATATCTATAAAATAAATTAAGTATTATCAATCTTCTAAGAATGACCAGTCGTACGTCCAATTACTCAGTGTTACAATTGCAGTAAAGAAAAGTAGTGTTGGTTGCTTTCTTTTCATAACAGTAAGCGGAATGCGTTGGCCTAAACAAAACGGATGGCATGATATTCCTAGAGACTTTATTATTATTTTATTATATCATCACGGTATATTATTTTTGCATTTGTGTGGATGCTATTTAAAGCGACCACGTTTAGCCGGATATTTTAATTTGGCGTGAAGATCATAAATTAAACAAGTAACGAGATTTTGGTTTTGGTCCTCCTTTAATATCATTTGATAATTTAAAACAAGCATTGGTCTAAGCATATTTAAAAGCACGACTTGATAGTTAATATAGACACTGGTATATGGAGTAATTTTGTGCGCTATTCGTTGCCATTTAAGTTAATTGTTTTTTGTCAAGCCATTTGTGATACATAAATCTTCGAATTAATTAAAAAACCGAATAAATAAACTGGGAGATAGCGCCTGAGGTGTTGGGAAATGTCTAAATCAAGCACTGAGGTGTAACAGAGAAGCTGTTGTTACATATTCATTTAAGCATTGAGGTGTGACGAGGCTGATGATGGTGTTTATATCTTTATTTATTTATTATATTCATATTCATATCTATGGAGTCTTGCAATCTTTTCTTTCTAAAATTCTTCACCGATGCTCGTGTAATTACTTATCACATGTGCATGAGACCGATTGACTCCTGCTCCAGACGAAAATTGATTCAAAGGAAGCGATCGAGAGCATATCAAAATCTGAGCAAGATATGTGTAACTAAGTCAAGGACTTGTATATAGTAGGTCGATCTCATCTATTCAGAGAGCTAAGCATAAAAGTTACATCGATGCCATTACACTTAAGGTCATATGTTTTGAGATGTTAAATTGCGGTTTCGTCCATGAATGTAATTATCAATTGATACAATAGGTAAAAGTACATCATGTTTTGGTACCATATGGCCTACGTATGTAATTATCAATTGATGTTTGGTTTGGTTGATTAGAACTGAATTTAAGAGAATTATGTTTTCTCGCGAAAGATAAAAATATATAAGAGAATTTAAGAGAATTGTGACTTTTATTTATCTTGCATGAACTTCATCGTAGCTATATACATGTAGATCACGCCGAGCATATATATATATGGACATAGTTATTGATCATACGTATATATACGTGGATTGTGGATATATGTACTCGTGTACGGTATGGATGAAATAATCTGAAAGATCTGAGCACATGCATGCATGCATGACATACCTCCTTCCGTCTACATCGTTTCGACATATCAACTATTTTGTGTACACCACTTTTGCATATTCATTCTTTTTAGCACATTATGATTTTCACATGTGTGCTTTAATTTCGAATTTATCAAAATTCAAAGTTTATATGACAGATCCTTTGAAGATAATGTAAATATCTTAGAAAGCCTTTTTTCAAAAGAAAGAAGATATATCCTCCAAAAGTTTATTCTGATTTTTAAAATATAAATAGGATTGAACGATATAAATTTTGGGAGATGAAAAATAAGGGAATATATCCCATACCAAAAGGGATTCAAGTTTATTTATTTTATTTTGTCGTGGAGTAACGTTTATTTAATAAGATCGTATTATTTTTTGGTAATCTCTATAATATTATTTGAGAACTCAGTTTCTTACGTGTCGAACTTACGTTAACTCTCGCGATGATTGATTACATAGATACCCTCTATGAATTTTTATATTTAAATATTATTATTTTTTATTTACTTTTATTTAATTTTTCAAAATAACATACATGATAAAAAGGAAAAATTTATAATTTTTTAACAAAAAATTAAAAACAAAAAATTTATGTATATAATATGATTTTATTAAAAAGGAAAGCTTACAAAATAGTAATATTCTCTTTAATATATATTTTAAATAACATAAAATATATATTCAAAGTAATAAAATACATATATTCATGAACATCCAAAAATTTACCTGTTACACTTTATTTTCTAATATTTTTTTTAGAAATCAACATATAGTTTGATAAATATTATGAAAATGCATATATATTTAAGTGATAAATAAAACTTATTTGATTTGATTCACTACAATAAATTTAATTATACTTCATTTTTAATTTAAAATATATTTCTCTCAATATATTTATAATATGAATGACTCGAGTAATCTACCTTATATCCAAAACTAAAGATCTAACTACAATAAGAATATATAATTTATAATAGTACTTTTATACATATAAATTATAGAATGACTCAAAACATATTAAAAAGAAAAATAAAATATTAACCAATTGTAATTTAGTTCTTTTGTAAAACTTATATATATGCATGAGACTTATAAATATTATTGTTATATTCATTTATGTAATTTTGAATCAAATCAGCTTATAATACATTTTAAGTACAATATATATTAAGTTGTACATAGTCCAACTATAATATATTTACATATCTAAGAAATAACCAACTTAAATGAAAATAAGAAAATTATTAAAAAATTATTATATTTAGAATAAAAATATTATAGTTGAATTCGAAAAATATATATTATCCAATATAGCGAATTGATAACCAAATCGGCTACTAATTCGAAAAATAATCAAACTTACTATAATATATCCAAAATCATATATCTAATTAGAATAATATAATATTTATTAATATAAATTATACATATAAATTGATTCAAAATTAAAGCTAAATATTAATCAATTATTATAAAATTTTGGGTGAATTTGCTGAATATACCAAAAAAAGAAGTTATTTAGGAATTTGCCTTAGTTTAGGGGGAAAAAATAATAGAAGGGGGAGAAGAGAGAATGGGGAAATAAAGTATATAGCTAATTTGATGGTTTTGTGTGTATACACAATGTAAATACTCTAAAATTTTACTATTATAAAATATTCATACCCGGGAGAATCACCTAGTACATCATATCTAATGCAAAAATATCCCCTTATATTAATGTACATACGCGTGTGTATAAGCGAGGTATCTAAGCGCGTGTGGGCATGCGTTTGTACATCTTTCGTAAATAAGATTTCATCGACGCACAAATGAATTCGTTTTTGGTTAAAAAGTAAAAATGTTTAGAACACATAAAAAATTAATAATTTAAAGAGAGTGGAGGAACCAACGGCCTTTAAGATTGACGTGATTGCGACGTGTCGCTTGCTTGTCTGCTTGATGGGTCCACATCCATTGCTCCTTGTAAAATTCACCTAACCTTAAATTTTTGTTTTTCTTTTGGATATTTTAATTGGATCTGTAATTTAAAGTTATTGCAGTAACTTCACATGTGTTTAACAAATTTAGAGAATGTATTATGAATTTATTTATTTCATGAAATACCTTAAAGTATGTAAGTATTAGAAAATCATATCAAACATTTTAATTCAGAAACACAAAAGGAAAAACCCAACACACAATTGGTTGTATATTTTACTAATCATCAGCTAAACAAATGAATAGTTTTGGAATATGAATTTATAAGATAACACATCTAATAACCATAAATATTATTTCAGATACAGTGAAACTAGATAATAGAATAAAACAAAAGTATTTCCAAATTCATGAACAAATAAGTGGGATTTCTTATAAGGATTTCATATATCAGGTTTTTATTGCATATATATATATATATATATATATATATATCTTTGTTTAGTTTTTTGCCTCTATCTTAACTAGTCTTAGGAATCACAAGCTGATGTTATAATTTAGAAGTGCTTTGGTAAAACACTAAAACTCCTTTCATCACATAGAAAGCCAGACACCAAATATTTTAAAAAAATACATTTCTCGGAATAAGAGAATGTATAGTAATTTAAAATTATCATACCAAATCTATACTACAGAAAATAATAAAATATAGATGGTGGAGTGTGATAATAATTGAAGTTACTGTACACATTTTCAATTTTTTTTTCCTTTTGCACCCATTTAATTTTTTTTTTTACATTTAGTGATAATACATATGTGGATTTATATGGAACACCAAAAAATCATTTTAGTGCTTGGTTCTTCTCTCTTTCTCCATCTCTTTCATCAATGCTTTCTTTCTCTCTCTAAAATACCATTTTCTTTCTCTTGCCAAGAAAAACCCATCCAAGGTTTGTAAATCGTTTCTCCAAAAGTTTCATTCTTGTTCTTGGTATAAAGTTTGTCAATCTGGACTGTCCTTGTTTCGTTTTTTTGATCTTCTGTTCTTCTATACAACTTCAAGATCCCAAATCTTGAAAGTGTTTTCAGATGTATATGTGTATGTATGTATAGATTTATGAGTACATAACAGATTTATTTCTTTTACTTCTCTTAGATCTATTTGTAGTCATCATCTTTTTGTTTAGCTGATCAAGAATCTTCCCCATGTCTTGAATTATAATCTTTAGTTTTATGAGTTATTAAGTTTGATCTAATCTAATCTAATCTATTTTGGTAGCTTCTTCATCTTATGGATGTCTTACTTCACTTTATCTTCTTATGATACCCTCAACATACAATAAGCTCTCGAATTAGATTGGTAACTGAAACTTTTTTTTTTTAAAAGACCAAATAAGCCACTGTCTTTTGCGTGTAAATAATTGTTCTCTTTGTGATTTCACTTCATCAAATCACACATATAAACTTTTAAAAATATAATCCTAACTTATCTTTTTCACATGAAATAATGTTCACTTTTCCCTCTTCTTTGTTTCTTGGAATCACAAATCTCTAAAATATAGTTTCATAATCTTAGTTACATGTTGTGTTGTTGTTAGCAGGAGTAGATCGGACATAACTGGTGATGATAAAAGAAGATCTGGTGTTATGCTGAACTATTTGGGAAGCGAAGAGACAGATAGTAACAGTGGAAGAATCAAATGTTCTTATCCACTGAGAACCCACCACATGACCCACTTACCTCTCCTTCTCCTTCCAGTTTATTACATCTCATCACCACTTCTTCAGATGAGTTAGGTCAATCCCATCTCCAAAACTTCTCCATCAGGTAAATTATTAACTTTTTATTTTTTTTCCTTCTCTCTGAATGTCTTTTTGTTTCTTGGGTTTCTTCCTTACCAGACAAAGAAGTCTTTGGATTTCTTGATGGGTCAGTTTCAAATGATCATAAGCTAAAGCTCATCCTCATAGCTAGATCAAAAGTTTTGACCTTTCTGCCTTATTCCTTATAGTAACTAATGGGTCAGTTTCAAATTGTCATAGGCTAAAGCTCATTCTCATAGCTAGATCAAAAGTTTTGACCTTTCTTGCTTCTTCCTTTTAGTAACTTGATTATGTTTTCTTCCGTGTGTTACAGTACTGCTGATGTTAACTCTTAATCTTTTGAGTTATGAAAGAAACTAACTTCGCTTTTTTCATTCAAACAAAAAGAGAAGAAATTAACTTCGTTTGATATATACTGTCATGCATGCAGAGATTACGCGTATAGTAACAGGAAGAACAACATCAAGAACAGCTGGCCATTTTCTCCCAACAGTCTCCAACTTTGTTCAACTCATGGCGTAACTGATCCTTTACCACCCTTTCAGAAATATTCCAACGTAAGTAACAAGTTTAAGACAACGGCTAGTTCATCCTCAGGGAAGAGAGACTTGTCTAAACTTGGTGTAAATCAGACATTAGCAGAGACTAGAAAAGGAGTCTGTAGCCAATCAAGGATCTTCACGGAGAATGGTTTTGGTACGAGCACAAGTGTTTCAAAGTCTAAGGTAGAGATAGTAGTAGCTGGCACAAGTAGTAATAACAAGAACAATAAAAAGTGTGGACGAGTAGGAATGGTGAAATCCAAAGAAGATACTTGTGGTGGTGGTGGTCTTGTGATGACGACAACAACATGTCCTATTTGCAAAACCTTCTCATCAGCTTCCAACACTACTTTGAATGCTCACATCGATCAGTGTCTGTCTGCTGATTCAGAACTGCCACCGGTTAGTACTTATAAGCCAAACAAGCCTAGAGTCGACCAGTGTCTGTCTGTTACTCCACCGGTTAGTACTAAACCGAACAAGCCTAGAGCTAAGCCACTGATGAAAGTTAAAACTATGGTTGATATTTATGCTTCTGCTAAACCATGCACATTAGAAGATCTTGACAAGAGAAATGGAACTACGTGGGCGTCTGTTTTGAGCCATACGAATCAGGCTGTTGCTGGTAAGTCTGAAGTGTCCAAGAAGCGGAAAGTTCCACCTGTGGGTGTTGGTCCTGTTTATATTGATGCCAAGGGACAAAAACTGCGGATTTTAACAGAGTTCAGTGAGAAGAAGACTTCTACTACTAATACTACTACTCCGCTGAGAGAGCAGCACGAGGATGGTAGTAAAGAAAGCAGTAAAAGCTTGAGGAAGAGAAGTGGAGGAAAGAAACATTACAAGTATCTTAAACTAACCAAACTCAAAGCCAATACATCAGAGGTAACAATGACATAAACTCCTGTCCTTTTTTGTTGTTGATTATTTTAGATAGGTTCATGAAATAACAGTACAGTGCTTTTTGTACAGCAGATACATGAGTGTCAAAGAGGGTTTTCTGGAGAAGGTAGCAGCACAGGTCATCGTAGAATCTATAATCAGCGGATGTTATCAAAACGTGGTGTGATCTCAAAGAAGCTAAGCGAGAAAGGACATAAACTTTATACTTTGCGGGATCAGCCATCTGAGGATGATGATGATGAGGATTCATGGTCAGGAGAAGAGCGTCTTGTGTTGAGAGGTACTGATTCATCTCCTTTGAATAAACAGAAGGAACTCTCTGGAAGGAATAAGACTATGTTTGGGAGTAAAGGAGCTCAAAGTCGTTCATTTAGAGATCAAATGAGTCAAAAGGAGGAGAAATCACTTACAAGAACTCATTTAGACAGTGTCCAATTCAAGAAGAGGCTTGCTTCGATTCAAGAAGATAAGTATCCACTTGAAAAGAATGTCAGAGAGGTTGCAACTAGCATGAGAAAGTTGTCTGCACCATTAGTGTCAAATGGCTGGAGACAACAGTCTCTGCCTTTGGAGCTAAAGAAAGCTAGGTTGGATATGTCAGAGGAAGACGAAGATGAAGAAGAAGAAGGTGGGAAATGGGAATCTGAAATGACGCAAGAACGTGAACTATCAGAAGATGATTATGTTTCTGGTGATGATAATAGTCCTTCATTTAGTAGATACGATGACGATGATGATGACGAAGAAAGTAGTAAAGAGGAGGAGGAGGAAGATGATAGCAACAACAGTAGAGCCAATGATGCTACACCATCTACCAATGAAACCATACTTAGCGAGAGAGCAACGTATTACTCTGAAGAAGTTGGTGATATGATCTACGGACAAACCACTTGTGATGAAGATGTGAGGTTTGGTTCTGAGGTGAGAGGAAAAGGAAGCTTGTTTGTAGAGGTTGATACCATTCCCATCCCAGGACCTCCTGGATCATTTCTACCGAGTCCTAGAGATATGTGTTATGATGAGAATCTTGGAAACTCGTCTGTTATTACAAGCCAGATACAGTCTTTTGACAGAAACTCATCTGAATCACCTGTTTCAAACTTTGCTGCTGGTAGATTGAGTTTTCCTGTGGAGTTGTCTTCTTCCTACACGACAACCCCAGTGAGCTTTTATGTTCCATCTCATCATGAGACAATCACTGAGGCTGAGACAAGTACCGTTGACAAGACAGAACCACCTCCAAGACTTAGAAACAACGATGATCAGTCTTGTTTTTGTTGCCAGAGAAAAGAGAGAATCTCTGAGGGGATTGCTTTGAATCATCATCAAACATCTCATCTACTGCAGAGAAGAACCGCAGCTTATTCGTCAACCAAACCTCCTCCCACACGTTTGGATCCAAACCATCCGTTTGAGCAGTTACCATACATGGCCCAGCAAGATTTAGATCTTCAGAGTAAATTCTCAAACAGAGCTGTTGTTGTGCCTCCAAGTCCTAACCCGGTTTTGCGGTTAATGGGAAAAGACTTGATGGTCATGAACCAAGTAGAAGCATCTAAGGATAGCTTTAAACCACCCACTCAGTTTCTTGATCCACCTCCTTGTGCTGGAACTGGCTTATACCTCAACACGGGTCTCTATTTAAGAAACAGTTTCGAGTCAACAGATCAACCACAGACACAAACACAAGCTTCATCAATCAGAAACAATTTTTGATCATGTGAGGTACCTTTCTCCAAGCTAGTCAACGTAAAATTCTGGAGTACTTTGGACCTCTGTGCAGTTTTACTAAGAAACTGAGAAGTGGGTTCTCTTTGAAAAACGATCATCGAACATGAGTGCATAGGTAGAGTTCGGTTGTTCTACGGCATTTTCGATGCTTTTTTGTGTCTGTCTGTAGACTTTGTGTAGTTATGGACGGACCTTATTTTTAACACTTAAAAAAAATAACAAACACTCTGTACAGTAGAAGATAAAAAGTAACTTTATGTTTAAGGTTTGGTTTTGGTTCGATAAAACAAAAAAAGTTGGGTTTAGTTCAGATTTCTGGGTTCGATTTATTTGCTCATTTCTAGTCAAAAGCCACAAATTCTTCAACATGATAAATACTATTCATCAAAGCTTGTACGTACATATTTTCGTTTTAACATATTGAGCATTTACTTTCCAGACAAAAAAAAAGAAAGAAAGACGAGCAAGCACTGTATCAAGATCTAAAAATCTTTCAGTCTTGCATGGCCTCATCGAGAGAGAAATTTCCTTGCATCTTCAGTTTATGGATCTCGTGAGCAATCTGCACAGTGAGCTGCAACAAATACAAAAACAAAAAAAGAATGCATGAGACAAAAAAAAAAGTGTGTCAAATTTTGAAATCAAGAAGAAGAATCAAGAGCAGTTACGTACGTAGTATCCACGAACAATTCTCGCTCATTTTGGGAAGACGTGAACAATGAGTCCCATATTTCGACCAAGTTTCAACGCCTTGTTTACTGCCTCCTCTCCATCAAAGTAAAGGTAATTGATGTTGGAGGGACTAGCACCGCCTTGAGAGCTTCTGTGAGTAATAACATCTGTGATTACTCCACAGCAGGGTCGTCTCGAATTATATAATTTTAAAATAAAATAATTTAATGATGTAATAAAATAATTTTAAAGTTAATATTTTTATATATACATATTTGCGGTTTTTATAAATTATAAATTATAATTTTAAAAAGAGTGTATAAAATTGGATATTTTAAACTATTTATATATTTATTTTTGAAATTTTCATTAGTATTTTTTTTTTTTTTAGATTTGGGTTATGTTGGATTGCTCCGGTAGAACATGCTATTAGACGGCTATGTTCCACATGAAGAGAAATCTGTCTCTCAAAGACTTCTTGAGATCACACTCACTCTGCATTGTCTGATATCCCATAATGGCAATGCCAAACCAACTGCAACACAAAGTCAGAGATTCAAACTTGTATGAAAACCAAGAAACATGAAGAAAAAAAGAAACGTTAAGAGTTTAATCAGAGTTAGATGTAGAATTTTGATGTGGAATTATTCTGCAGAATTTTTTGATGTAATTGTAAATATATTGCTATAACATTTTAAAAGAGGTATATAACCTCTCATTAAATTAACAAAAGACTCCACCAAATTACATTAAAAGCCAAACACCAAGAAACTATAATTAGAACCAAAAACCAAAAGTACAATTTCTTAGACTCCATACTCATCGTCAGGTGGCAACTCATTCAAATCAAACTCCATTTTCTTCACCTCTTGCACTGTCTCTGTTACTTGACTAGAAGATGTTGCTGCTGGAGCGGTTGCAGCTTCACTAGAGACTGGTCCAGTCCAATGACATCTCTTATGACCTCCAAGAGCTTGACCTGTTGGGAAACTTTTATGACAAATGTCGCAAATGTGATCTCCATTATTGCTACTCCTTAAAGATGTCTTTGATGCTTGAGCACTAGCTAAACCGGTTATCATTGCTTCGGTCCCAAGCAAAGGTTGATTGTTTGCCTTAGCTTGATGATTCTCCAAATTTTTGACCTTGTTGTGACTTGCTCTATGACCTCCTAAAGCTTGATAAGAATTAAATGACTTGTTGCAAGTCACACACACGTGCTTCTCACGTGCACCACCACCTTCCTCTCCTGCTGAGGCAGCAACAACATCACCAAGCTGATGATCATCATGAGTAGATGATGATGCTACTTTCTCTATCTCAGATAATCTTCTCTTCTTCTTCATTATAGTCATCTCTTCGGCAGAGTGTGAATCAGAAGTCTCTACAACATCGAGATTAACAGCTTCTGCAGTAGTAGCTAATAGCAATAGATCCTTTGCATCAATATTATCCTTCAAATCTGATTCATCAATCTGATCCTTTGCATCATAATCATCATCATCATAACCTGAGCTTGTAAATTCACCAACATGATCATCAATAGAGAGTGTAGAAGAGGATGAATTACCAAGTGGATGAGGAGGAGGCAAAACTCCTTTCCATCCTCTGTCTGGATGAAACCTCATGTGTCCATATAAAGCCTTCACTGATGTAAACTTCTTATGGCAAACACAACAATCAACTTCGGATTCACGAGACTTCTTCTGATTTTCGAGCACATGAATCCTTTTATGACCTCCTAAACCCTTACCTGACTGAAAACCTTTACCACATTCAAAACATATATGCTTCTTCTCTTCCTCTTCTTCCACATCTCCTTCTAGATCCATACTGTTAGCTCCATCCTCATCAACTTCTTCTTGTTCTTCTTCACCGAGACTGATACTTTTAGGTTCTTTTTCATCTTCAGCTATGAAGTTTGGAATTTTAACTGATTCCATTGCTTTCCAAACTTAATACACCCTAAAAGCTAAGCTCAGAATCTCTCTCACAGCTCTCTCTAACTCCACAAGTGAGATCGTGACTGCAAAAACGCTTGGTACCAAAAGAATATATTAAAACCCTAATATTTGAAGACTACTACTAATTAGAATTTAAAGAGATAATGTTGAAATACCCAAAACTTTCATTTTTATTTTCTCATGTCTCATGTCAAAGATTTACTTTTGATTCAAGGATATCTCAAATTAAAAATAAAATCAAATAAATAAAATCCAAATTAAAACTTGATTTAATTGACATAAATTGCAATTCCTACAAAAAAAATCGAAACTAGTCAGCTATTACTATGTCCTAATCCCTACATTCACGAAGAATAGGACATGTTTGGTTCCAACAAGATTAAACACACATATACCAACAAAGGATGTAAAGGTATCTTATTTATAGTGAGCTTGAAGTTATTCCTTGTATAGTTTGGTAAACACACATTAGTAGGTTGAAGTTATTCCTTGTATAGTTTGGTAAACCAGAAATCAAAGGATGTAAAGGTATCTTATTTATAGTGAGCTTTCACAATTACCATACAAACAAGAGCTTAGTAGGTTGAAGTTATACCTCGTATGATTTTGACAAGTGGGTAATTAGTTAAAAACTTAAATAACATGAGCTATGTATATGTATATAAAAAAAACAAACATGTCTCAGCTATCTCAGGGTCATTCCATGGTCCTTTGTTAAACCTCAAACACCCTCCTTCGTTAGCACATGTGCATACGCCTCCCAAGAAATCTGGAAGTTGAATGCATTTCCAGAATATATAAAAGCAGTAAATAATAATGTTACTGTAGTAACCAAAACTTGAATAACATATAAATTTTCAATTAGAAGGTTTTGAAGTTTCCTAAAATCAAAAGAATGATACAAATAAAACAAATCGTGGGCATACAAACACTCCCTTTCCTCAGTTTGTTACTATTACATTACACAGACATCTGCCTTTCTTGGCCTCATAACAACTTAACACACACCAATAAAGCTGCAAAAATAGTCAGCCAAAGAGGAGAAGAAGAAGTGGTGATGGCTGCTGCGTTCACGTCTGATGCTGAACCGGGAGGCATAGCAGGGCACTCGAGACCTTCTTTACCTCCTTTGCACTGGTTAGCGAAAAGTCCAGGCGGGTATTTCCCATAGAGATTGATGTAACTGAACATAGTGGTGGCACAGTCATTGGCCAGGTCGTTGATATCTTCCGTGTAAGGACAAGCAAACTCCAAAAAAGAAGAGCAGCATTCCTTTGGTGGGAATTTGGGACCTTTGCATTGGCTTGTTATGATTGTGTAGTTCATAAACTCGAAGTTCACTGGACATGCTGTTACCGTGAAAAAAGAAAAAAAACCATGTCAGAAAATATTTAACCAGCAAGATCAATAGTAATTTACAAGATCATTATTAAGTCAAAACTATAAATATATGAATTTTGTAAACACAAAAAAAAAAAGAATATCAAGATTGTAATTCACAAATTTAGGACCGTTACTAGATAGATCAGGATACGTTTGTAATTCAAGACCATTGTGAAACATAGATTGAAACTATAACTAAGATCTCATCATAATTCAAAGGAATTAAAAACAGTAAGGTTAAGGAAACAGAGATTTAAAAGAGAACTTGCTTTTCTTGGTCTGAAGTAGGGTTCTTCCAGTAATCAAAGCTTGAGATTCAAACACACCATCTGCAATTAATAAAAAGAAAAAATAGACAAGGAATTAACATGAGATTTGTAACATTTGAACAGATATAGAGGGAAGAGTTTTTTTTCTTTATGTTACCAGAAATGAAACTGGAGGATGAGAAAGATGGAGATATTGCGAGTATAAGACAGAAGAAAAGAGATCCATAGACGAACTTGAGAGCTGCCATGATTCTTTGGTTACACAAAGTAACGAAGAGATCTGAAAAAAAGATTAGAAAGACGGCTTGGTGGAAGACTATAGCTATGGGGTACCACGAAGGGAGAGAGAAAAAGAGAGAGTCTGATAACAAAATAAATAAAATAAAAATAGAGAGGTAGTGGTGGTTGATGACATATTTAATTATTTATTTTGTTGACATTAGATTATAGGCTATACAGCTTAAAACAACGCGGAAACTATATGCAAGAAGATTGTCTGGTTCTTCAAGGTCGTGTAACGGTGACGTTAGAGTCTTCATTGCAACGAAATTTTTTCTTTGGTTACTGTAATATAACGTTAACTCTCATTGTATGTACTTACACAACAAAACAGCTGATTATGCAGAATATTTGATAAAAGTTTAGAAAAGATTGTCGTAAAACGAATCAATGGTGTTTTCTTATATTTTCTAATAATATAATTAACTAGCGATTGAGAAGAAACAAAACGACTGGTTAATAAAATTATTACCATTCTGACTAAACTATGAATATCACTAGGTTCATAGCTCCGCGCAAGCGCGGAGCCGCAGACAGTGATGATATATTATGATGTTTTATAGATGGGATTTTGTCATTTTTTTGGACATTTTTTTGTTTGGGGTTTAACCGAAAACCCGATTGAATTTAGTTGGTATATGAATGAGTGAAAATTCATATGCTTTGAAATATTCATATATTATTTTAGTAATGATTTTCTCGAATATTTGTGTTATTAGTGCTTTTATGTCTAGGGTGGGTGATTTATTATGTTGTTATTGTCTAATTTGTAGGTTGGTAGTATATTATTGTTAAATAGTGAATTAGCATTTAAAAAAATTTAAGATTTTATTAAATTATACAAAGAAATATAGTTTAATGGATTGAAGAGAAAAAGATGAAACATGTTTGTTAAGGGGTTGTGTGGAATGTTTAGAGATCAATATTTATTAGTGAGTAAAAACCTGTTTTTATTTACAGATAAGAGTGTTTGACGAATTTATATGTGTTCGTATTTCTACATTTTTTTTACGATTTAATTGGATCTTAATGTTATTAGTAAGTTAATAACCATATGTAACCAAATATATGTATTTGTTACTATACAACTATAATATGGGAACGAAGAAGAAATAATTTTGTTATTCGAAAAGAAATATAGTTTGTTGTTTTCAATGTGCCATGACATGTTTTGAAAATATATAACTGTAGTTTAATAAATGCTAAGGCTTCGTATAATTATATACATGTATGACTAAGATAGTTATTTTTTTATATTTGTCAAAAATATTTTGTGGTAGTTTAAAAATGGGAATGGTAGATTAAAAAGTTTAGTCGTATAGGATTATATTCGAACACAATAAAAATGTAGTAGCTGGGTTTTAAATGATTGGACTTGAAATTTGATGAGTCTTGAGTCTCAATTTATATCTGAAACTGGATTGTTTACTTGCCCTTTTTGTTTCTCCTCGTCATCTTCAGTAGTGTGACAAGCTCTTGTGATTCTTGGTCTGATTGTGTTTTTAGTGTGTCATTTTGTGAAATTATGGTTTTTCTATCGCAACATGGAAGAGAGATTAGCTCACCTTAGTTAAGGCTGTCTCCATCGCATTCCTTACTCAGTGAACCTCTGTTGATTCGGTGTTCTCGGAACCTGCAATAAGAAGATTTGAATTTGTTGTATGACTTTATTTCTATTATTATTAGTTTCGTTTACTAAAACCCATACCGAATGATTTGAGGTTCTATATGTTAATTTGGTTGGTATGGCTTATGTTTACTTTAATATGACAGAGAGACTTGAAGGCTGCATGACGGATGCCGGTGACGCTAGTTTTAGGAACTGGAGAAGGAGAGAGAGATTTTCTAGAAGATGGTTAAAGTTAAGAGGAATAGATAAGTTTTGTGGAGATGCACATAGGGTTCATCAAAGATGAGATCATATATATATGATTTACAGAGGGGCTACAAATCAGGAACATTTATGATCAAGCGATGTAAGATGGGGAGATGAAAATTTCACCGGTGTAAAAAATAGATTACGAACAGACACACGATGCAGCTCTATAACTCAGACCTGTATGAGACGATGGTAAAAAGAATCTTAACTCATTTTAAACATTAACGGTTTACAATGTGGGAAAACTGTAACTATTGTAAACTTGAGGATTTTCTTCATATAATATGATGAAGCCCAATTAAAAATGAAACTCATAATACACTTCCAGGTCCGAACTTTAAAGGAGGCCATAGATGCAAAGGCTTCCGGCTAAATATATATTAGTTTTGGCCATCAATGTACAAGTTATCTTGTAGTTTAGTGGTATGAATGTTAGTGTTTGTTTCTTAATAACCCGGTTTCGAATCATATGTTTGACATTTTTTCACATTTTTAAAGTGAGACCCACCTAATGCTGATGTGGCGCGTTGAGGAGTCTTGAAACTCAACTATTATAATATAGATTATTTAGAACCAGTTCAAATCTCAAACGCAAATGTTTCTCAATAAAAACCAATACCAAAGAGGTCTGCCTGTGTATAAGATTTCTCATTAATTTCTTAGCAACAAGTCTCCGTAACAATATTCTACAAGAAGGTACAGTAACAATATGTCTCCGTAACGTTAGGACTCAAAGCTTCAGATGCAGCATCGCTTTATTCGCTGCAAAACATATATACAAGCAGTCTCAACTACAAATGACCTTAAATATGAAAAACAAAAAACAAAAAACAATTCAATAATCATATCAAATTTTAACTCGACTGTAACCAAAAACGAAAGAACATAGACTGGCCTCAATTTAATTCTGTTTAAAAAAAAAATAAACTCATAGAGGATGAAAATAAAGGAGGATAGAGTAAGCTTACTTTTTCGAAATGAGAGTCAAGCTGTTCTGTGATCTGAAGTTGTTTTGCTAACGTTAAATGTAATACCTGAAATCCACATAAAGTAGATAAAGCTTAATAATAAGGTCCAAGACTCAAGATCAAGAAATGTTACGTACTGATTTGGTTTTGTCGAGATCGAGTTCTAAAGACTTGATCCTCTCTAGAGTTTCAGTTAATAGCTTCTCATATACTTCCGGGACCTTTACAGGGATTCTACTAATCTCTGTGCATTCTTTCTCCAGCTTCTTAAGACGATCCAAAAACTGAAGAACAGTCTCTTTGTTTATGGATGAATCTGAGACATGGACACGGTTATGTCTTTGCCAGTATCCGAACAATAAGAAACTAAAGAGAGCAAATAGCTTTAGTGGAAAGGCTACTAGTATCTTCACCATGTTGTCGCCTTTTGTTTTCTCTCTAAGAACACCAAACCGTGTTACCTGACCACCTTAAAATGTGACAATGATACATTTGAATATGCAGTTGCGGAACAGTACACTAATGAAACAAGGGATGAATGAAAAAGAAAACACACCTTCTCTTGTAGATGTATTTGCTAAAGAAGAGTTTTTAGTGTTTGTATTAAGTAATTGGGATTGTGACAATTCTCCTTGAGCCGGTTCTAGAGATACTAATTTATCACCATCTGATGTACTGGCCTGTCCAAAGAGGCTTAGTCATAAAAAAACCCTCTTAAGCTCACATTAGGCGGGATAATGCGAGTGGCAGAATATCAAGATCTCTTACATGAAGAGGAGCTTTTGTAGTTTGTGATATGGGATTCACTTCCATGTGATGTACCAGCTGCAAAATAAAATTATAGCTCAACTAAAACTTCCTGAATCTAAAAAACAAAAAAAAAAACATGCCTCAGCTATCTCAGGATCATTCCATGGTCCTTTGTTAGACCTCAAGCACCCTCCTTCGTTAGCACATGTGCATACGCCTCCCAAGAAATCTGGAAGTTGACTGTATTCCAGAATATATAAAATCAGTAAATAATAATGTTAGTGAAATAACCAAAAATTTAGGATGTCATTTATCTATAAAGACAACACTTAAGAAGTGAGCTTAAAAAAAAAAAGAAATAACCTGGAATCAATTGTTTCAAGTAACTTTGACAAGGACTTTGGCTCCAAAACCTGAGTAATTAACACAAACAATAAATTAGTAGCTGTTGACAATAAATAGAAGAATAAACGATAATACATTACTTGTATCTTTGCAATAGTCACAGCATCAAGAAACTTCTGTGCGGCAGGCCAAATCAAATTCCTGAATCCAAATCCTGCATTCACAATGAACATTCTGTGCAAAGTCTGCAAAAGTCAAAGACCACCGTCACAAAACTTGTTATATCAACTGAAAAAGATCCATGTCCACTCGGCTCATTGGCCTAATTAGACTATTTATAGAATGTATATTCTTACCTCAGGGTAATAACTACAATCTACTTTAGCAATAGAGGACAGGAGATTCGCAGCTGCAGGACTAAAGTTCTTCATACCCTGAGCGTTACAACAAAATCAAGAAAACAAATTTAAGTCAACACAATGTTAAGATTATACAGGAGTTTACTATAATACCAGGCCATCAGCATCAAGTATTGTAGTGGTTGTAGTGACACGTCGCTTTGCAGCAATGGAACAGGCAGGGAGCTTCTGTTGGAGAGCCTTTTCGAATTCTTGGACATGGTACTTCAAGTAACGGTCGATGGTTGTAACATCCATAAGCTTACCGGGATGAGCTTTTCCTAGTCTCTCGATATAGATGGGTCTACCATCTTTATCAACTCCATGATACCCTTGAGGATAGTACATTGTGACTTGGTCCAATTCTTTGAAACAAAAATCCTGTTTTGAGCAAGAAAAGCTTAATTAACTTTCTGTAACAATGTAAGGACCATATGAGATAATATCCATTAATTACATCTATTATGTGATCAGCTCCAAAGTCATTCCTCCATTTGAGCATATCTTCCCATGCTTTGACGGTTTTTTCGATGTTGAAATCCATTGTTTTCAGAAACCTAGCTAGTGGTAAACAAAACATATTAGCTAGCTAGAGACACATCATTAATTCATTAGGCCAAAAAAAAAAAAAACACTACTGGTTTTACCTTAACATCATATGATAATCATCATGCCTTGGAGGCAAAGAATGTTTGTTAAGAAGCTCTTGGCGCAATTTAAGAACAATCTTCTCATCATTCTCGTCCCTAACATCTTCAATGGAACAGCTAATTATGGCTTTCTTGTCTATTGTTTGTCCACAACCTCCTGCATTATATATGAAAATGATGATCATAACATTTCCCGATGATCATGTTATTTTCACTAAAACGTAAATGAATATATACCTGACATGTTTAGAATCCGTCAAAAACGTCTTGATACGCTATTGAATTCGGCAAAAAAACTTGTGCCAACGCAAAAGGATAGCTAGAAGCACCGAACTAAAAGCAAAGAAACAAATAATCCTCCGTCTCCGAGAAAGGTAAATTTCTCGGAAAGGAGCAACGGAGAGTCAAGTCGTAAAATGAATCCCAACAAAAACCCTAAACGGTTACCTTTTTTTCAGTGTTAACCATAAATAGTCGAACTATCGACACATTTTAAAATAGTAACGAAATGTGTAACATAGAACATTGCTGATACCTCTCTACCCTTGAAAATGATGTGAAAAATAGACGAAGAAAGGGACGGTATATGGTGACTCTGTTTCTCTCTTCATAAAGAAAAACCTTCTAACACCTTTTGGTTTATAGTAACAAAAAAAAACAAATTGTTTAACATAAAATTAACATAACGAGGGAATCACCCACAATAACAAATTTCCTTTGATTCTTACAGAAATAGTGTTATGAGTAACAATTTGTTCGAATATTATCAGCAAACTTATGTATATTCTTTCATTCAACACAATCAAAGAGAGAGCGACTCATCATTATCATAATAGCCAATTATTGGCTTTAAAGCATTGAAAGCTCTCAAATGTCTCAATATAAAGCTCATGTACACAAACCAACACACGGCTTAATGTGATAAGAAAAAACTAATAAAGCAACCAAGCAAAGCGCCACACTCTGTTTTTTTTTTCAATCTTATTTCTCATATTCTTAAACAATGCGCAATGCACTGGTGCTATTATTCTCGACAATCATCATCATCCCATTGCATACTTCTGGGTCCAGGATCGGGCAGTGCTCTCGTACTTGACTCGGTCTGTCTTGTAGGTGTGGGCTATTTCTGGAACAAGAGGATCATCAGGGTTTGGATCTGTCAGCAATGAACATATCGACAGAAGAACCTGTGGAAACCAACCTCTTGTTAGCACTTTATCACATGCAAATTAAAGAATCTCATATAAAAAAATAGGTAAGTCACTTTAAGCAAGTCACTAATATAAAAAATAGGTACTAAAATGGAAATCCATATATCATGTCATCAATATTGAAAATGAAGACCTTGACTATAAGGTAACTCCTAATAAAAGAGATGTCCCCTCGAGAATCACTGAACTAACACAATATCATGACTACTTGGACTACGACCCAAATATAAGCTCAATCTTTGGTCACAACGAATAGTCACAACAGAGGAAGTTGGCAAAGGCATGACTGTAACAGAGTCATGGACACGAGAGGGTGTGGTGGAAAACAGAGTGACGAGATTGAACAAATATGGAAATGAAACAATGTGATCACCTTGGATATGGTAAGTGCAGGGCTCCACTGCTCTTTCAGAATGTCAAGACAGATACTGCCATTACTGTTGATATTCGGGTGATAAACCTTGGTGCGGAAAGAAACCTGCATCATAAACAACCGTTAATGTTTGACCACTGCTTGTTCCAACACTCGCCATAAGAACAAGGGTGGATGATAAACTAATTCAAAACGAGCTCCACAAATAAAAACAACCCAACTACAGAACATTCGGTACCTTCGGTGGCTTGAAGGGGTAATCTGGTGGGAAGTGAATGGAAACAAGGAATACACCTCCGGAGAAAGGGCTATCACTTGGACCCATAATAGTCGCTTGCCAGTGGAACATATCATCACCCACAGGTCCTAAACAACATCACCACTTTCATCAGAACCTAAATAACTCATACTGTAACTTACAAAAACACAGTCACTATCTACTGAGTTTGCTAAATTTAGCTAACTGAATCTCTTCTAGGCGTGCCTTAGTAAGCATACAAGATCCCAACTTACACAAACCCAAGCGTCCACAAAAGAAAAAGCTCACAGATTACTATAATAAACGGTGAAAAACAAGAGCAATACTGACCAGCACTGCATGAGACAGGAGGATCCTTTTGGAGGTCCCTAAGCTCCTTGTTGATTCTTTTCGAAGCCATCTTGGAACTCTACTCGCAGATTCTATCTACAAACCAATCAAAGTCTCATCAAGAACATAAATTTCAATACTATATTACATTTATAAAACCACAAGTAATACACACAACAAAGATTCATTAAACAAAAAAGATTATCTAAACAAAAAGACTCATGCAAGTTAGTTAATCTTCCAATGATACGCCACGTGAAGAAACCTAATCATGAAAATATCGAAATCAAGCAGATAACGCAATCAGAATCTAAGTGATGATGCAAACAAGCCGATCAGAGATGCTATTGATCAAACAGAGGCAAATCATCTAACGAATCGGAATCTAATACAGTAACTGCGGAACAAGCACATGGATCGACGCAAAAAGGGATCGACGACGATGATCGGGAACTGGGAAACGAGTAAACACTAGAAGAAACGATGAATCTGATCAGATCGATTTCGAGAACTAATCGTGACCTACCTACCTACCTTTCGTTAGGGTTTTGATTTTGTGATGATCTTTCGGAAATCTCAAAGGACTGATTCGAAACAGTCTTTAAATAGATTCCTCACTCGTGCAGTCAAGCTTTGCCACGTAGCGCGAACTAGATTCCGTTACGGGCCCATTATCAGGCCCAATCTATAAAATTGAGATTCCGTTACGGGCCCATTATCAGACCCAATTGTTAAAATTTGAGATGCTTCTTTGTTAGAATTGTGCAACTATTTGGGTGATTACCTTTATGCAATGTCTATCATCATCATCATTCACATTTGTATATTTGACAAAAGGGATTAGATTTGCAGCTAACGATACACTTTATGCCAGTGCTATTGTCTCTGCAGCTGACTAGTATACACTTTTTGATGCAAGTGCTATCTTCATCATTTGGATACCATTTGAGGGTTCACACCAGCCTCACAATCTACGATAGGTTGTTAATAGGACATCATTGCAATAATCCCCTTTTGACTTTTTGAATAACTTTGTTGGTTAACTGTGATAGTGTCTTGCATTGCAAGAAACTGGTTTTGGCATTGTTGTTTAAAAAAAACAACAGTTCATCACTAAACCGGATGATTAATTAGATTGATCAACCGATTTACGGATCTGTTTAAAACTGATTGGTGACTAATAATTTTGTCTATCAAATTCTTGAATATAGAGTTGAAATGTGACATATAAGATGTCGACTACAGTAATAAGAAGGTGACAAATACTTGAGAACAGAACATTATGGTAAAACAAACTTCCCTTTCACGTTTTTGTAACGTACAGAAATGTTATCATTACCATCATGGTCTTACGTTTTTGCTTTTTTTTTTTTGTAACATGGTTTTACGTTTTTGCTAGAATACAAAACTTTTAAAATTCTCTTGGAAACTGGAACCAAACTTTTCTAACGAGGAAAACAGCAACAAAAAGTTGAGAAAAAAAAACAAAAAAAAAAAGCCCAAAGACTTGGAGAGAGGAAGAGACTCATCATACCCTGTGTTTCCTTGAAATGTTGTCATCTGATCTCTCTCCATGACAATGATAAATAGACCCAAAAAAAAACACACATTCATAATCATATATACAACTCTGCTCCAGGGGAGAAGAGAACAGTACTGTGTAGCCAAGAGAGGTGTGGCCTTTCTGCGTCGAACTGGATCGGTTTATATTCCTTGAGATGTGGGACAGATCACAACAACAAAACTGCGTTTTGAAGGCATTTGTTTTCTACACTTCCCTTGTTTTGGCTCTCTTCATACCGAGGCTACTGAAAGGAGAAACAGAACCAGACATTGGAGATCTTTCTTCCCGAAGAGATCCATTGAGCAATGCTAGCTCTCGTAGCTGCTGTTTCTTGTAAAAATCATGGGTCTCCTCCTGAAAACATAAACCAAAGTGTCAAAACTTTATATATAAACGATACTATCATTAGCCGGTTTGAAGTTAAAAGAGGAAAGAGATGAGAAAAACAAACCATAGGAGTAAGAAGTTCATCTAGTACTTCACGAGCTTGCATGAGACGTGCATCGACTATTTCAATCGGTAACTCTGCTTCGACTAGGAGATGAAGTGGCTCACTTAAATGCTCAAAGCCAGGCTTTCCTCTCATCATTTCCTCCTACAAGAAGGAAAACATTAACGCACTGAACAAAACAATGGAACATGGATACAAATGAAGTGGAGAAGGAAAATAACAAACACCTTATATTGATCTTTTATACTGCCTCTTCCTCTTATAAGAACACGGCAACCAGTACTTGCTTCAACTCGTTTCAGAGAGTTTCCTCTAGGTCCCAGGAGGCGACCAACGAAATTGAACTGTCATAAAGAAACATTTAGGAGTTAAATTCCGACCAAACGTTACATTTTTTAAGTATAGTCTGAGTGTATAAATGAGTATTTATACATTTGGATAATCGTCGACTGGAATATCGATCCTGATTGTTTGCTTGGCGATCAGACCAGACGGACTACCAGGTGAGTTATGCCAGTTTGGTCCTGGAGACGATGGAACAGATCTCTGCATATGATCAACCAACACTATTTAGAAGCCACATCAACCTTAAAGTATATTCATCCACATAGAGTAGCAACATCAATAGAAAAAACAATATTGCAGCTTCCTTTCCATGGAAAGGAGAGGCAATGCAACCTGTAAGTAAGTACATTTCTATCCTAATAAAATGCATAGAGAGTGATCACATTTATATGAAAATATTGTAAGCACATCATCATTTCCACTCTGCTGACCATCTGTTATGGCTCACGAGGATAGTGGAGTTTCTAGTTAGTGTTAATCTAAGGATATACAGTGTTAGACCATGATTCCTGCATTATAAACTAAGACTAAAAGCAGAGTCAAAGATGTTATGTCAGCAAAACTTGAGTCAACAAATTTGTATAGCAGTGGTATGAATTAGATGTAAGAAGAGTTATGTTAATGGTTAGTAGTCATTACTTCTGATGGAAACTGTGATGCCCATCCGCTCAGGTCTGCTCTTGAATTCTGATATATCCCTCCAGGGCTAGTGTGGTCAAGCCCACTTTGACTAAACACTGTGGCATTCTCCAACAGTGTGGTTACACGCAAAATCTCTGTTCCAAAAAATGTCAAAATTTCCAAGACCAAGACGCACCAGTTAGAAATTAGTCAACAAATCAGTCAATCAGTACACCAATGAGTAGAGATACATCACAGTTAATTGAGTTAGCAAAAAAAAAAATTTGTTTTTGCTTGCTTTCACTCTAGTTAAAAAGAATGACAGAAGTCACTCTAGTCAAATGTTAATAACATGTTTAAATCTAAATTTGCAGTCTCTCTGTGATTAGTAAGATCTCTACAGTCTAGGGTTATTCAAATGGTAAGTGTTTATCAATAGTATGAGAGTTTCGTAGTTATAAAGTAAGTAATGAGTCAATGACATGTAAGAAACAAGAAAAAACAGAAATGCTCACCCTGGTTAAGTAGCCGACATACATGTGGAAGCACAGGCAAGAACGGAGTAAGATTACGACGTTCTGCAAATAAATCTGAAAGATACCTGCCAAACCAGAACACATCCAAAAATTAGTTCATAAGCCTCAAAGACCATCAAACTAAAATCAGTGATCAACTTAAGAAAGCTCATCATGATCAAGAAACAAAACACACTTCTTAAATCTTTGACAGCTAGATTCAAGATCACACCCCTTCAGTGAAGTGGATCTAGCCATTTTTTCTTAAAAAAAACAGTCACTTAAACAGTTTAATAAGTCAACAACACAAAACAACAGTAACAGAAGAAATAGTCAATGATCTATAAACCCATCATTACCACCTGATGCGTACACGACACTAACAACAACAACAACAACAAAAGCCAGATTTGATATTAACTATTGAGATCTACGGATTAACATCAGCTAAAACAAAGATCAAACAATACGTCATCAGATTCTTAAGCCACAATAAGATGAAAAGTACACAAAAAAAGTGAGATTGAATTACTTCTCCTGCTCAATGAACACAGAAGACTGAGATCGGATCCCACCGGAGTAGTTAGGAGACTGAGGAGCAGAAGGAGGAACCGAAAGAGACGACGAATACGTCATAAACCTCCCTCCTCCACCACCACCACCACCGAGCGAAGACATCATCATCATCTCGAAGGCGAAAACGTTCACAAGGAATCAGAGGAGAACCGTGGGAGATCGATCGGAAGATTAGGTGGCGGCGTAAGAAAGATGAGGAGAAGAAGAGATGTTGTCTTTATAACGTCGGTGGTCGTTTTATATAGAGACAGTGTTGGAACTGTTGAAATGATTACTTGCTTAGCTGTTTTTTTCACCCCTTTTTAAAAAATTTACGTCACTTGCGCATATTTTACCGCTCTTGTTGTTAGCCTCTTTACCATCTAGAAGTCTTCAACATCCGGTTTACTAGAATTCGGGTTTTCGAATCACTTCAACGCAGCGTTTAGAAAATTATCAGTTTACTAATAAAACTTCGGAATCACTAAACGCTGCGTTCAAGAGTTTAAATGTTATGTTCAACTATTTATTCGTATATTTATTGGGTCACATATTATTTTCTTTATTTTAATAGAATGGATTAACTACATATATAACTAAAAACACAAATACAAACTTAAATTTTTCAACAAAAAATATACTCGTTTTTTGAAAGAACGGATCAGAATCTAGTATCTTATTATATAAAAATTAAAAGGGAGAAGATTATTGGAACATAAATTTTTGTGAAATTTGATGATTCTAATAGTTGTGAAGATTTTACAAGTTAACTAGATTTACAAATTTTACCAAATATATTTACATAGATTTTCATTACTTGTGTATAGAATTATGTTTATTGTTAAGTAAGAAATTAATGGTGGTAGGAGAAAGAGAAGCATAATCATTCCACTTTGAACATCTCCAAAAAATTCTCTATTTTGAAGTTTTCAAAACTCTATATTTAAAGTTTTAAGGTATTTTTCTCTAAAAGCAAAACTTCAAACTTAACTTCATAATTATTTATATTTTATATTTTGATCCTTATATTTATAATAGGTAATGTAAATTCATAAAGCATTGATAAATAACAAATATATATATTTATATATATACATATATATAAATTATAAAACAATATTAATTAATAAAATCTTACATTAAAATATAAAATTATAAGTATAAATACATGATTACTACAAATAGAATATCACATTTTGTTGTCTAATTTTAATTTTAAAATATTTAAAAATACTAAACTACAAACAACTATTTTAAAATTTATTATACATTTTGTTTAGTGTTATGTCTAAAACTTAAATTTATAAAAGGTAAAATTTAATTTGAAATATTTATGAGATATAAAAGAATTTAAGGATTAAAACGATAAACAAAAAAATATTTATGAGTTATAGATTTAATTTGTAAATGTAAGGACCAAAATACAATTAAAAAAATAAAACATCATATTTAGAGTTTTGAGTATTGAAACTTTAAATATAGAGTTTCACTCTTCAAAACTTCAAATTTGAAGTTTTGAAGTTTTTTTTGGAGAATAAAAAACTGTATATTTGAAGTTATAGAGTTTCTTTTGGAGATGCTCTTAGCGCAATTATATTTAATAACTTTTTTAGAGTTTTGGTTATAAAATAATTTTTTAAAGAGAAAATGACTAAATTTTCTTATTGAAAGGACAAAAGACCATTATACGCCTTAATTAACTGTGATATTTTTAATACTGAGTCTTATGAATAAAAATAAAGAAAAATTGCATTCCAATAACAATAAATTTTAATATAATCTTAAAATTAATGAAATTAAACTTTTCCAATAACAAATTATTTTGAGTAAAATTAAAAAGTTTTCACCTCAATAACAATGAATTCTACTAATACTAAAAATTCATTGACTAATATTAAAAAATCATTGACTAATAACAATGGAACCTCTGTTATCATATAGTGTTTGTGCAGTAAATGAAAGAAACAACTAGAGGAGATATACAAGTTTCCACTCTAGTGGGACATCTCGGTGAGCTAAAAAAACAAAATGTATAGTTCCAGCCAAATCCTTCAAACCCAATACAGTAACGATAACTACCAATGACGCTCCAAGAATCAAGACGACTATATTTATATGGTTGTGTATCCCTGATATCCGGCAAAGGTTTCAGGTGAAGGAAAACCGACAATGTTTAGAACTCCTCTGCGTAGACGACAGCTCTTGCAGCATCTTGTATCTCTCTCCCAAATTGGTTGATTGTAAGGCTCTAATGGCCATTTTCTTTAGCTGTCCAGAGTTTTCAAGCAAATACATGACCAATTTTTTCTCTGATTCTCTCCCTTGGTAATCAATCCACTCAACAGTTTCCAGACTCGAGTTTAAACATTGAGGAACAGAACTTGGTTTTTCCCACTGAGTCTGGATATAATGGCTACATTTGTGACTTGGTTGGAATCTGAGAACTGTGAGTTTAGGGGTTTGTCTGAGTATAAGAGAGCACCAAACTGAACAGCAAGTACAGAGTTTTAGAGACAAGAGATGAGAGAAAGCGCCTATAGGATATGAAAACTGCAAATGGAATCATCACAAGTTAATGTAACTATTAGTTAAAAAGAGAAAGTGTATATATATATGATAAAAAAATGCATCAAATTTGTTACCGTTGATGGTATTGCACATAAGGAAAGGTGTTTAGCTGAGGTAAGACATTCTAGAAGCTTCTGAGAATCACCAGATGGAGGAAGCTTGATGTTAGCCTTCACGAGGTTTGGCATATTCACTAATGAACAAACCCAACTTACTCGGTTAACAACAGCTAACGATGTTAAAGAAGGAGCTTTGATCACAAACCCAACATCATTTCCTGGAACTTGAGAACCATTATTAAAGTCTGAAACTCTTAATCTAAGCAATGAAGGAACCATGACTGTGAAGGTTTTCACGTTTCCATTGTTTTCTCTATCTATAGTTAGGTCTTCAAGAACAGGGCAACCAGATAGAATCCTAGGAACTATTTCATCGCATGAAAAATCCACACGTTTAAGTCTCAAAGTCTTGAGTGACGGGAAACGAACGGTCAAAGGAACATCCACAATGAACGTATACATTAGGTGTAACGTCACAAGGGTTTGACATGTATACAGACTCCCAGGCAATCGTATGGCCTCCTTTGAACCGAGTGAATACCGGTGAAAATAAAGGGTGCGCACACCACGAGCAACTGCAACTCTAAACCAGATTTCAATATCTGTAGGACGATGATGTTGGGCAAGTTTGACATTCATGGTTCTTAAAACAGGAGCCTTGTGTAATAGCAAAAAGTTTTGAATGAAAGTGGAATTAGATCGTCGAGCATCATACACAAGCTTTGGCACATGTTTCCAAACATCACGCCAACGTTTTGACAAAAGGCTTGTGGCTATAGCAACTTCTGTTCGAGCGAATGATAATATCTTCAAGATCAAATCATCTGACAATAGACTGATCCTATCCATTATTGTAAAACAAATCCTTTCAATAAACCCCAAAAAGTTTGTCTCAGTTGTCTTTGCTTTTGTTAATCCCGTCGCAATCTCGCACTCAGAGAAACAAAAGTAAACCCTAGCAAAGACTAAAACAAAAAAGGCACTAGTCTAAATTCAAACCAATTAACCATAACACTATTGATTTAGGATTAAGGATTCTTTATATTATGATTTTCGGTGATATACTGATTTCCCTTATTTTTGAAGTTTTACTTTTTATATTTAGTTTAACCTCAAAAATAAAAAAAAAAAAAAGGACTACTAGATTGGGATGGCGATTACGGCGAGGAACTCGATCTAGGGAAACAATGGTGTCTAGGGGATGGGATCCTGGAATTGGGAACGAGATTTGGAATAGAGGGAAACGAAATCGTGGTGATAACGGAAGGGCTACAACCCGAAAAAGTTGTCTTAATCTTCGGCTGTTTGTTTTGGTCACG